CTATTTACATCTCGCTTGCTCAATGTTATTTGTGATTGCGTGCAAGTGAGAGGCAAATAGACTGACGCTTATTTCATAGCGAATAGAAACGTTCGAAGGTTTCCACTTTGTGCCAGTAAATCCAAAAATAAAGACTAATCCTAAACCAGTGACTTTTCGGCTTTTCTGATCCCGTCTCGCTCATTCTATACACATGCAAGCGAGAGGCGACTAGAAAAGTTAGTTCTGTTACTTACCACACGTGGCGCTAGTTGTGAAGTTAGTTCTATTACTTACCACGTGCGAAGCTAGTCGCGATGTCTGTGCTGCCTCCAAAGGAACGTTGTACAAAATGGTGTATCGAATAAATTGTTGTAATGATTGTTGTCGTGCCATTGCGATATGCGGGCGCGGGCGCTTGCCGCTAGGATCAGAGTTGTTGTTGAATCCAAAATATTTCCTATAATATAAATTTTTATATCTGAACTTTGATGTTTTATTTGTGTTCACCTTTTGAGAATTTATGATCAGCAATAGTTGAAGTTACTTATGTTTCTGAAAGTTTTTAGAGACAGTAAAAAAGTCCATCTATTTTAATTAAATATTTTTCACTGTAGTCTCTTGAAAGTTTTTTTATATATGTCGGGAAGAAGACGGGTTCGGGTCACGGGATTTTGTGCCTAAAAAAATTTTCGGCTTCTAAATAACATAAAAACAAACGAAAATTATAGAAAAACGTTTTATTTATAAATACCCACAAATCACATAGTTTGTTATCACGAAACTTATATTACGGCAATATGTAGTTTACAGTTTGGTTATTTGTTTATTTAAAATACAATGGTATGAAAATCCACCTCTACATTAAGCGAATCTTATTTTAATTTATAAAGAGTAAAATATGAAGTCACATAACGTCATCGGTATATTTCTCAAAAAATTGGCCACGAACATAATTTTTTAAAATAGCGTAAAAACTATAGTTTTATGTGAACTCATATTTTATGTACCGGCAGTAATATACTGTCAATACAGTTTCACATCTTTTGTTATCTTTAATTTTTCTAAAAAGATTCACATTTCCTTTAAACTCAAACAAAACATAGTATGTTTTGGCCTTGTTTACAATTAAAAGTTTATATCTAATTAATTAATCTCTAATTGTAATCAAATTGTTTGAATAGCTGAAGTCTTATTTGCAGTAGCAAGATCGACTAACTTATACGTAAATACAACTGTTTAATACCCATATTGCAATATCCTACTTAGTTTTAAGGCATGAAATATTAAACTACCCAGAGAGACTTAAGTCCTCACGATTCAATCGTATCACCAGCAGATATTTATTACGGTGGACGGAGAACTCTACTAATGACCCTTTTTCAGTTGCCGGTAAAATTAGAACACCACGTTTTCTTTAGGCCGTGGTGGAACTACCCTCAAATTCCAAGTCAATGCTAAACTTCTAGCCAAGATTTTTGGCGCGTGTCTGTCACACCCAGACACAATTTGTGTTGTAAAGCCAACTTTATGTGTCGATAGTTATGGAGATTTTTCTCGCAATAATTTCTTACCGCATGAAATCGATTCGCTCACAAATGTGTTTATATTATGTGCACACCTCAAGTAATTCTAAAGTTTTTCTTGAATCATCAAAGCACAATGTTGGCGTAACTCAACTGTCCCCAAAAATTTTCTACGTCTTCTTCAACTTTAGCCTTAAGAAACAGAGGCCTAAAGTGACCGCGATCCAGACTAGGGTCACCAGGAATCCTTGGTAGACCGACGGCTCCAAGAAGGAGGACCCTCGCTCCATGATGTCTCTGAGGGACTTGGAGGGAATCGTGAAGGGCAGCATGAGAGCGATGATGCGGAGGCCGGTCGACATGCCCTCTAGAGGCCAGAGGATTCCTGCGGATAGAAGAGTAAGAATAGAATCAAGAAGAATATAAGAATACCTACAAAATATAAGGAAACTAGCTGACTCTGTGAACTTTGTACTCAGTGAATAATGTTCTAATGGTGAAACATTTTTTCAAATTAATTTAGTAGTTTCAAAGCATATTCAATACAAACATATAATCAAATCTTTCCTCTTTATTATTAGTGTAGATTTAAGCCTCTAAAATGGGAAATAATTATTGGTTGAAACTCGTGAAACTGTAAAAGTCGAGGAGGGTTTCCTTAACACTAATGCCCTAATAAAAATAAAGACCAACTTCTAATTTAACCGCCTCTGTGGTCTAGTGGTAAGACCACCTGCTTCAGATGCAGAGGTCCCGGGTTCTCAGTGGGGGCAGATTTTTCTGTTCGGTTTGGTTGGCGGTAGTAGGACTTGTTCTAAGACCGCCTGGCTAGCTACCACCATCTTACCTAAGCCTAAGTCTGTCGCCATAACAACAATGTTAACAGCATTGTTGTGTTCCGGCAGTTAGAGGTGAAATAGCCGGTTCCTCCGTGGTTGAGGATTCCGGGTGAAGCTCGCTTCCACCATCGCTTACCATCAGGTGAGATACAGAGCAACAGCTTCCTCGTTGTGGATAAAAAAACCATAATAGTATAGAACACTCACCGCACAAAAGAATCATGGGGTAGAAGCTTCCAGTAGCCACGAAGAAGGACATGGTGTAGCTGGAGCAGTAGATTGACAGCAGGAATCCATAGCACATCCCGCAGAGCCCTTGCAGGAACAGCAGCAGCCCGCACGTTATCAGCGAACCCTCGGAAGGCATGCCGTAGCCGAGGAATGAGAGAGCCATCATCTCTGCCGTCTGGAAGGACCATTATCGTAAGATAAAAAGCTGTTAATTCATCAAAATTTGTATTACATTACAGGGCCTCAAATTATGTTAAATTGATATTTCGCATTTTTCAGTTCAGACTGCAGATTCCTAGCAATTACATTTGTAAAGGAAATGAAATGGTCGAACATTTATGTTTCCACGACTTCACCAGATCGTTGGTCCACTGATTGGGTTGATTCTCTTCAAATTGACTCCTCTTCCAATCCGTGGTCGCCACTCGAAAGTTTCTGCCTCAACGACCATCTAAGAGATAATGTGGTCTGCCCAATGCCACTTCTGATTCTATTTAGAGGAAACTCCGGTAACAGAACCCTCCATCACCCTTTGGGTGACTTCTGATGAAGCTTTTCAAAGTCAGTCAAAGCTTTTATTCAGTGCTTAGTACCTTTTCAGGGTGTTTTGCTTATTATTCACGTCCCAAATATAGCTTGCACTATCACCACTTCGGGACAACATATGGGCTGGTGCTGAGAAGTTTTAGTAAAGGACATTGGTAGGAACGGGAGGTGGAATATTCCCGTAGCCTGTTGTGTCTACGCACCTGCAGCACAATGATGGCGGCTTGCAGCACTATATGCACGTTCAGCATCTCCTTAGGCTTGACTCCGGCGACCGCGCTGCGCTCCCACACGCCCTCCAGCCGGTCGCCGATCAGCAGCGTCGACGTCACCACCGCCGGCAGGAAGAAGATTATGCTGCAAATACAGATATAATGATAGAGGCAAATATCCCTTTAAGAGGCGATTATCATGGTGCCTTAAAGTCTACGTCATCATAGCCGCAGAAAGAAGATTATGCTGCACAAAATATCAGGTTTGTCATATTAAATAACCAGAATCCGCGAGAGAGAGAGAAACTTTTAGGCTGAGTTGCACCACCTACTTACCTGTAACTATGACGTTAACTGGTGTTTTTTGTATGGACTGACAGATTTTTAAGTTAAAGTAAGATGGTGCAACCCAGCCTTAAACATTAGGGCTTCTAATCCCGCATGCCTTTTTGGGATCTCGGTATCGGTGGGAAAAATAATACAATTTTCATTGATGCGGGATACCCATGGAGTGCATGGAGCCTTCTTTTTTACTCCCGCCAAATCCTGCGGATCCCGCACGTCTTATGCCACAGTGAGCGTTTGGTGAGTCTCGGTATACCGAGATTGGAACCCCTACATCATTGTCATTTGTTGCACTTGCAGTGCACGCAAATGAGATGGACTGTTTCAGAGGCACCAAAAAGTACATCGTACTCTATGCCGCAGCTGGCAGTGGCTGTATTAAACATATTATTGAGTTTAAGATGCGAATCTTAACGCTAAACTATGTATTAAACATATTCTTGAGGTCATCGGTCCATCAAGAAGGGAGAGGTCCTGAAGGACTTTGAAAAGTGGGCTCCATGAGAGAACTCGTTTACGGCAAATTGAGATCAAGGGAACTATTAAGTATTTATAAAACTATTAATTATTGTAAAGAAAGACGGCTTACTTTGGAACTGCTGCACCTATTAGTTTAAAAAAATAAACTACTTAAATAACACTCACGTGATCATGATCCCCGGAGCCATGAACCACACCATCTGGGTGTCCATCTTGCCGTACACCGGGTCTTGGAAGCGAACCGGCATCTGGAATGATCCATTGGGGTACATCGTACATGCATCAGTGTTATAACTTTGAACGAGGTGTAGCGTTAGAAAAACCAAATACTTAAGTAGGTAGGTAGGTACCTACTGTCACTCATGCTAGATTTTCCTTTTAACTGACAGATATATGGAGAGGGCGTTTGGAGTGATAGACCTCTTCCTGACTTCTTACTTTGGCGACTGCTTTTAGTTCTAAGCTGCAGATAAATTGGTTTGACTTTCATAAAAACTGGTTTTCTCTCCGACTCCTTCCGTCTCCAGGCCATAAGGCTCTGGAACTCTCTGCCTGAAGAGACCAGGCAAGAGTCTAGTAAGTTTTCTTTTAAAAAATCTGTTCATAATCACTTCCTCCAAATGATTTCATCTTCATGAATTGTAATTTCAGTTTAACTCAATCATCTATTTTATGTATGTATTTATCTATTATATATATTATTTATGTATGTAGCATATTTGTTTTTGTTTTTCTTTCCTGCACTAGAAGTACCGCCAAACAAATTTCTTTTCTGCTCAACCCAAAGGTAAACTGGTCGAGAATGCTTTAGTGCATTAAGTTCGCCTAATGTACAAATTTATTTTGGCATAAAAGTTTAAATAAATAAATAAAACGGTAAGTACCTACTTTTAAACCTATCATCATCGGGGGCGTCCACAAAATGGTAGGGACATTAACCATTAAATAACTCGAAAAATAAACAGCTTAAACTAATTGATTAATATGTAGGTATACCTACCGAAGTAGCTATAAGTTATAGACTTGTAAAGTAATTACAATATTATTAGTTTATTGAAGTAAGTATTAATAAAGCAATTAATACTTACTTCAATAAACAATAAATATGTATAATAGGTAAAGAGTTCAATAAATCATGAAAATTGCATGTGATATAGGTACTTATTTAAATAGCTGTTAAAAATAATTCTAATACCTAGGTTAATTAATAAGTCGACCACAATGTTGATTGCTGAAAATAACGATTTAATGTAGCTAGGTATTTTAATGACGTGTTACCTTTTTCGTATGTACAATGTGAATTCAGGTTGTAAGTATTCTGAAACTTTACATAGATAAATAAGTAGGTATAATGGATAGAAATAATGTAGTATTACATAAGTAAAATGGATATGTAAGTAGTCATAAACAAATAAGTGATTATTGCACAGTGAATTGTCTATAATAACAAGCTAAGAATTTTACAGTATTACTAACCTGAGCCAAGTCTTCGTTCCTTCCGCAAGCCCGCATCGTTCGCTTCGTGAAACTGCTGTACGTTTTGTGCAGCTGACTCTTTATGAAGTTGGTTATTTGGTGATCTGGAAATAAATACTTAGTTACAATTTTTAGTTTTTTTTCTGAAGGCATTATTAGGTACTTAGATACCAAAACTCCAACTCAACCTAGTTACGGTGGAAATACAGCGCTTCGTACAGCGCGCCGCTAGCTTTGATGACGTCATCCCAGATACTGATGACGTCATCTTAGGCAGAATGATGGAAGGCTTTAGACACTTACTGGTGGTGATAATCCAGACGCTGCTGACGTCATATTGGAGCAGATTTGAGAGACTTACTGCTAGCTCAGACACAGCTACGACAACCTAGACACTGCTGAGGTCAGTCCAGACACTAACGACGTCATCCCAGTCACTGCGACACTTCTGACGTCAGCTCAAACACTGCTGACGTCATCCTAAGTAGATTTGTAGGTGACTTTATGAGGGTATAACTTACTGCTGACGTCGACCCAGACGCTAATGCTGCTGTCGTCTACCACGTCATCAGGGACTTCCCCTTCGCGCACGCGCGCCGTGAGCGCGTCGCTGAAGTTGCGGTGGAAGTACAGCGCTCCGTACAGCGCGCCGCTGCTTTGTGACGTCAACACAGATACTGATGACTTCATCTTAGACAGACTGATGGAAGGCTTTAGACACTTACCGGTGACGATAAACCAGATACTTTTGACGTCAACTTAGAGACTTGTAGCAGACTTATGACACTTACTACTAACGTCAACTCAGACACTGATAACGTCATCTCAGACACTGATAACGTCATCACAGACACTGATACACTGATAACGTCATCTCTGACACTGCTGATGTCAGCCCAGACACTGCTGAGGTTATCTTAGACTGTTGCCGATCTTATAACACTTACCTACTTCTGAATTCGGTGCCAGACTTTTTGACGCAGCTGACGTGATCTCATAGACGCTTCAGCGACTTTATAAGAATAGAACACTCACTGCTGACGTCGACCCAGACGCTGATGCTGCTGTCGTCTACCACGTCATCAGGGACTTCCCCTTCGCGCACGCGCGCGGCGAGCGCGTCGCTGAAGTTGCGGTGGAAGTACAGCGCCCCGTACAGCGCGCCGCTGGCTACCGCTGCTTTGGCCTCTTCTGTGGTTTCGTATGGAATCTGGGAGAGAAAGTGAAGTGAAGAGAAGTGCCTGAGGTATGGGAGCAACACGGGAGGATGTTTTTGTAACGTCAAAAGTCAGCGAGACTTCAGATCTTCATATTTATATGCTCTGTCACATCATTATCTGTTAATTTTACCGCTGCCATGAGCTTTCCAAGCCTGGAAGCCTGCCTATGCTACGAGTGTGAAAAACTACTAGAAATAAATTTGACTGTTTTCGATCGATTTTGCGAGCTATTGACTTATTTTGTTATTGCTACTTATAGTTTATTTAGAAAATGGGATTGGACTCATAAAATCAACGAACGGTCATTTAAGGTAAGTGTCCCCNGTTATTGTAATAATTGTAATTTTGAATACCTACATAGGTACATAAAAGTATGTGTAATGAAAGTGATTATTTTATAATAAAGTTTTCGTTTCAAAATAGTAAACATTATTACATTGATTCCTTTTCGATTTCCTTCTACATTTTTATCCAAGGGCCTGCGGTTACACTTAAGTTTAGCCGGCTAAAGATAGAAGAAACTAACATTAACACCTCGTCGAAGATAAACTTAAGTTTAGCCGGCTAATCTTAAGTTTATGTTCACACCTATCTTTAGCCGTAACAGATATAATGCGACCTTCCTCTAACGACTTGCTCGTGGGAATGCTAACGTTTTGACAACATGAGTTTGTTTAGCGTGTCCGCATTTTTTTTAAATTAATGGCCTCATTCTCAAAAAAAAGATGTTGGAATACTTATCAAAAGAGTTTTTACTTCGCTACCGCTTTATTTTGCGAAAGGAATTTTATTCTAAACACCTAATACACCTAAACCTGGGGCATACCCCCCCTCCCCCCCTCCCCTTCGTACCCATAAAATTTAGATATTTTATTTCTAACGATATTATGTGAAAATATTCATACAAGTCTAAATTTAATAAATGTGGGGGGGGGGGGCACTAACCCCCCACCTCTGGAGCTGCTTCAAGTGAGGGTAGTCCCCCCCCTGAAAATAACCCGATATACGCCAATGGCTCATCATAAAAATTAATTAATTTATTACTTAGGTAGGTAAGTATTAAAAACTAAAAAATATGTCGATTTCTTTGATGTTATTTGTGTCATACAAGTATCTAACACTATACATTTATATATCACGAACTTGGGAAAAAGTAACAATAATTACGGTACCTTGTTTCGTGATACTGATTATTCCAAATTCCCCAAGTAAAATTCATGGATTATTGTCAAATTGTGTCAATTAACTATTATCTATCCCATATAAAATACAAATAAACCAAGATAAATAAAACGAATCGAATTAAAACCAAAATTACGCTGGTAGTACTTATGCAAATTTATCTTAAAATTGGTCATTTATGTGAACTTCAAACCCGTGTCATATAAATTCTAGTGAACGAAACATATACCGAATTTAGATCATGAGAAACTTAAATAAATGTATTTTTTATTTCATAACTTACATTTCAATTATCATAAATAATTATTTAAAAACCAAGCATCAAAATATTATCCATAATATCCTTGATTCGGTAGTATCACGAAACAGGGGACACCCGAAAAATAATATGTACGCTATTTCGTGAGTCAATTAATCGCAATTTTAAAGTAATTCTACGTTTACATATAACTTTTTTCTAAGCCAAATCAATTGTCAAGGAACTCATGAAACCACTATTACAAGTTTTATGCAAATGGACGTTTCTTCGCCTTTTTATAAGCTTAAGAAGTTGGAGCGCTAACCTTACAGTGAGAGCAACATTTTCACGCCGCACGGCTGTTTTTGGCTCTCTGAGAGTTTGAAGCTTCGTATTGCTCTCATTTTTGGCGCCACAATGTTGGTACTTGGTTTTTTAGATAGCTTAAATAATAGAGTTTTTATAGTAATATAGAATTTTTATAAATAATATTCCATTTGCTTATTATTTGAGCTAGAAAAAAAACTTACGAACTTACGTACTATCACGAACTAGTAGCCGTTTACCTTAACTATGTATGTTCAGTCTAATTACAAAAATCATTCAAGTCTATTTCAAATAGAACAATTTTAATATATTGTTTTTACGCAGGAAAAAATTACGAGCAAAAATTACTTTTTAAGTAGGTAATTCATTCTGGATTTTAATCTATTTCATGTTTTATATTATGTGATAGGTACATAATTTATGCTTACCTGATACAATTCTTTCTTCTCCATTTCTTCTAAGAACCAACAACTGAGCATGTACTGTTCGCACGTGTCTTCTTCCTCTATCCTGACTATTGGCCGTAAGCTGCTATTTCTGCATATATCGTGGCCATCTGTAAAAACAAATATCAAAATTAACAAACTTTTGACTTCTTAAACCGTTTTGTTACCGCAGAAACTCAGTTCTACTGGTTCTACGCTATGCCGGTAGATAAATGCCCATTTTTGTTTACGAGATTTAAAGTTACTTTGGCCAATGTGAGGGAGGAGTGTAAGCCAAATCCTCCATTAGCCTCTGGTATAAGAGAGGGTCGTGGTCCTGCAGTGGACGACTAAATGACCTCATAGGTTGACAGGACAGTCTTTAACCTACCCTGGAACCCTGGGCATTTAAGGATTAAAGGTGTCATTTTCCTAAAAAAGGAAATTTGCCAAGTTATTGAACTATTCAGTGATAACGTAAAATTGTTACCCCCTTACTAATAAAAATTACCCAGTTCTTGAACACTGTTTTAAAATGTCATTTTCTTACTAAACGTCACTTTAAAACACTAACGAGCGTGTGTGTAAGTTTTATTAGTAAAAGGGGGTTAGTATTCACTGGTTTATAATAAGTAGAATAATTTTTGGAAGCAGACTGAGACCCCCTTAATCGTGGAGCCCTTGATCCAGAGTAACCCAGAGAGAAAGAGGAGCCTCGATGATGATTATTATATTGTCATGTTGATTGGCATATGGCTACTGACTCCAGAGACAGATTTTTTTACGGTAGCCAGCAGCGTGCTTTAGAGTCAGAGTAATAATAAGTATTCTATAGGTTTTTTATTAATAAATAAAGTTATTATTATCAAATACTCATAAAAAGTATACTTACATGGTGAAAAGGCGGTTTCTTCGTTGACAACGGCTAGCTGTAATCCACGCGGGTTATGTCCAATCGCAGAGAAGAACGCCACGATCTGGATGATGGGGAACAGGATGGAGAACACCAGTCCTCTGGGAAAGAATAACATTTTGTTAAATGCAGCCAGAATTCTGGGACAGAGTCGCGTTCTTTTAGGCAGCAATGTGGGACGTATATTTTTTTAACTATATTTTATTTTGTCGGCGCTTCACCCACGCGAATACGTCTACCCCTTCTAAGAAACAATAAATACTTAAGTAGAAAAATGTAAAATACCGTATGTTTAGCTACCTAAGAGAGGGCAGTTTTCCACCAAAGTTGAAAAAAGATTAAATCATGCGAGACGTCTAAAGAACTAATGTAATAGAATTTCGTAATAAAGTTACATAAAAAGGTGGTAAGGTCTCATTTCCGCTCAGCTTTACTGAAAACTTTCCTAGATATGAAAATGTTGGTTAATTGTATTGAAATTTATGACAACACTTACCCTGGATGCCGGGAGAACTGCTGTATGCTCTTAATAAATACTGCCTTATATCTCGCCTTCGATCTGCCTCTACAGTCTTTTGGTTTCTCTTTTGTCGTTAACACCTGTAAAAATAAAGTAATATTGAATACAATGAAAAAATCCAATATTAGGGCCTCAGATCATATTCTATGATCTGAGATTAGGGTAGATGTATAGCAGATATCTGGAGCCGACTCTTCATAGGAAAATACTGTGGAAATTCGTTACAGTTCTCATAACATTTAACTTTCAATGTAAGTATGAAACTTAGGTATAAAAGTGGATGACTATAGACTCCTAATGATATCCACACAATAGTAGACATCTCGCCCGTGAGCCAGTTTCTCACAGGGCGAGTTATCGAAAAACTGTTTTTTCACGATTATCTCGCGTTTGGCTGAACCAATTTGATACGCTTTTAGATAAGTATTTGTTACATCGAAGAAGGTTTAGTACCTATAGGATCTCATGTCAATGATCTTATAATGGCAGGAAAAACTCTTGAACGTTAGGAGTTGTATTATTCTTCACAGTAGGTTAATACTTAAGTAAGTAGTATACTTACATCGGTACTGCTGGTGACCACGTTAAAGTCCTCCCGCGACTCGTACCGACTGTCCACGACGCTGGGAATCCCGTCCGGGATGACGTCGGGAGACGCTGTGAGGGCTGCGAAAGATGATTATGGTGTAATGAGGAAATTAAAGAGTCCTTTTCGGAAAGTCACGGAGATTTTACGAAAGAAAGCTCGTGGTTGTTGAACTTGTCCATTATCTTCTGGAGTAACTCTCCTTTAGATTTATAGTGCGATATCAAACGGTTTGCTTTTAGGTCATAATACATTATTCGGTAATTATCAGCTACCTGAACGATTTCCATTCAAAAACTTTTTACTGAAGTGGTTTTCTTATTTATTTTTCTTTCTTCTTCAGACAGAAGCTGAGAATTGCCATCACCTCACATAAAATCCACGGAGATTAAGGCTAAGTTGCACCACCTAACTTTAACCGTAACTATAACAATAACCGGGGTTTTTTGTATGGAGTTTGACGGTTTTTTGACGTTTGTTAAAGTTAAAGTAAAATGGCGTAACTCAGCCTAAGTGTGACTTAAGGGGGAAATAAAATAAAATAAGGGTTTTCCAACCCTTTTAACTGTGTGGGGAATCTTTCTTTTTCTCTAGTAAAGAGAGGAGCTTGCTTGTGGAGACTAACGCCCGTATTCACAAACGATGCTTGCTTAACACTTTGGTGGACAGTACAAGTTAAGAATTACTTCCCAAATGACACTACTTATTCACATACATTGCCTATGGGAGTAGTGTCAATGTAATTTACTACCTGACGCCCGTGGACTTTACTGTCCATCAATGTGTTAAGTGAATCAGCAAATCGAACGCACAGCGTTGAATGGAGCTCTGTGTTTGGTTCGCGTGTTACTCTGTGCGTCCACGCGCACTGGGAGACCTCATAGTGATGTTTGTGAATACGGGCTTAAATTACCAGATGATGAAAATAAATTAAATGTATTTGACAATTACTACTTACTGGGCCTTCTTCTAGGCATTTCATGTTGGCGAAGGGCCAGCTTTAAGAAGGCGTCTTCAAGCGTGTCGCAGTCGAATTTCCGGAGCAGTTCCTCAGGGGAGTCTTCGGCCAGGAGTTGACCATCTCGGAGTAGACCGATCTGGAGCAAGAAGATAGACTTTAAGAGAGAATTCAGTAAAACTCAAAAACCCATTTTATTTTTGCAAGTAGGCTTTTAAAAAGCACTTTTACACGTCCCAGTATGAACCTTACCACTGCTTCGGGACAATAAATGGGCCAATGCTGAGAAGAAGCAGCGCAAGAAACTCAGTCACTATTGTCAGCTTATTTTTAGTCTAAGGGTCACAGTACAGACTTTTCAATCGGTCGATAGCTTCATCATCATAATTTCAGCCACAGGACGTCCACTGCTGAACATAGGCCTCGCCCAATGACTTCCACATCGCACGGTTGGTAGCGGCCTGCATCCAGCGCCTTCCTGCTACCCTTATCAGGTCGTCGGTCCACCTTGTGGGTGGACGTCCCACGCTGCGTTTTACGATAGCTTCGTCGGCTTCTAATTAGTATGAGGAATCGGCCGATACCAAATCGGTGTAATGTACGGACTTTCATACATATTCATACTGATTAGGTACAGCTTGACTAAACTATCGGCTTAAATAAGCCTGTAATCGAGTCGTAGATGTGTGAGAAGATTGAAGTATTTCTTAGTAAGGGTTGATGGGACAATAAGCGTCAACCATAGATTCCCATTCCAAGAAGTACGGTAACATTGATCTTGCCCTAGGATTAATATGGGTCACTGTGGTAGTTGAAGGCTTTGTCCGGATTCCCATAGTTCTTCCCACCAAGGCGATCGACGGAGTACCGGGGTTATTTTAGTGAGGAGAAAAGAGTCCCACATAACTTACCCTGTCCCCGCAGGGTAGATATGCAATTTAATGCAATTTTTCCACGAAAAAAAAGGTTAATATGGGTTACTGGCAGATCATTTACAAAATTGTCTTTAAGTAATTGGGCACTATCTTTTCATTCTACATTCAAGTTCTGTTCGTTTCGCTATAGAATTTGACCTAAATTTCAGACATCGAAAAGGAAAATAAACAGTATTTACTATTATGAATGCGAGTAAGTATCTAGTGCATCACCAAAACGACTAAAAAGTGACAGTTGCGGACTGTTATTTGGCAAATTGTTGCCAAATGCCGAGACCAATCACCGGGGCCTTGAAAAGACTGTTGCAAATAGATTTTGATTATTAAGACTTGAAGTTGTCTGACTATAGGTCACTTAACTCAATCAGTGCAGACGGGAACAAACGTCAAGCACTGATGAGGCATGGGATAAGCACGGGAGTGAGGAAAAAAGCGGGAGATCTATGACTGCAAGGTTTTATTAATCCTTCAAATGACTTAAATCACAGCTAAAGGACATCTTCTGAAAAATGGGATAGCAATTAAAGGGACCTATCAGGTATTCAGGTTCAGATTATCTTTTCCGATCATTTGATTCAATAGTGTAGCCTATCTTAGACGGGCCCTACTCAAATTTGTTGGGACCCCATCTAAAATAGGTCATTCGATCATTAGGGATGAGAAAGGTCATTAGACCCTTTATATTTAAATCAAAATCCTAAAAAGTCCGGCTCTGGGGGCTCCGTATCTATTATTAATACGGCTGATACGGCGGTAGCTACGCCCCTGATTTGATTACAACTCAAGGTTGAGTCCCTAAGCAGTGGGATTTTCCCAATCAGCAAATCTACATTGCTTAGCTTTGGGTAGCCAAAACGAGGGTGTGACGTCAAATGGTCGCAGGCGCATTGTAACCTGTATTAGGGCTGGTTGGGCCAAGACTGGCCCTCTGCCAGCGGACCTATTGTCTTGCCGTGGATTCTTGAAAAGTAGATGCTCAAGAAAAGGCTTCTGGAAGATTCCATCTTTAGAACAAAAATGGAAACTTCTATCGTTCAATAAAATCAATCATAAAGACATTCGGCTATCACCCGTACCTATTCACAAACGATGCTTGCTTAGGTAAGTGAAGCAGCAAATCGAACGCACAGCGTTGAATAGAGCTCTGTGATTGGTTCGTGTGTCACCCTGTGCATCCATGCGCACTGTGAGACCTCATAGTAATGTTTTTGAATACGGGCGTATGTGTATGACGTACTTATTAGTTAACTCTGTATGGCCTAGGTTCAATTATAGTCGGGTCGTCGGGTCAATATAAATAAAACTGACATGACATATTATTATTGACGTCATTGTAGGTACCAAGTAGTAAAATTTATATTTTTATTCTGAAACTCAAACTCAAAATCGGTGAATTTACTTGCATTAACGTCAGAACTGCCAAGAACGGCGAAGACGCCAAAATTAGGCAAGTATGAAGTTCAGGAAAAAAATCATTTACTTAAATACGATATTAATGTTTCAATGTCTGTTGTATGAAATAGCTAATCACCTAATAATGATATCCCACAATAGCAACACTCGCAATCGCTTCATGGCTGTGGTTATTGAATATCAATGAGTTTCAACAGCTACTTAAGTGCAACCATGCAACAGACTAGCTATTAGATGCAATCGCCAGTAATCTTTATTATAAATCAATTACAGCTACAAAACTAATCGCGACATTGACGAAATTGGCGGCAAATCTAGCATTGAGGTAATCAAAACCTTTTTGTTGATTATTTTCATTCTTCTTGCAAGGAGACTTATTTATCATATTATGTGTGGCCAGTATTTCACGGATAGAACACGCCAAGTCATAAAAAACAAAAAATCATCACTGTCAATTAGAGGTGGGCGCCGATATAAAATTGGCCGGCGGCGGCGCGCCGACTTTTTAACCTCGGCGGCGGCGGCGTCGGCGGCGTGACCTTGTTTGACCTTTGTTTATTAGGTTTTTTTTTTAAATCTGCTTTTTTAGTATCTGTCTTCAAGACTAATTAGGTGATTTGCAGTTGGTTGGGGTTTGAGCCACTGGAGCAGTGGTTTACCCTAGTAAATTAGCTCTCTTGATCATGGATACTTTGATATTTGGATAGCGGTTTGGCTGAGATCAGGTTTTCGTGTATTTCTTAAAGGCGAGCGTACCAATGTGCCGATAAAAGTACCCTTAACATGTATTTTTGAGCTCTTTGGAGGCACATAGTTAATGTTGGATTAGCTGACTGTCGGTCGAATATTATGTTCAGATCTATTTTATTTATATTTATTTTCTTTCCATGTCATCCTACGGTCCAGGATTTTAATGCAGATTGATTGCAGCAATGTGTCGAGGTGTAGATTGGCCGGAGGATAAGTTTCACGTCTTAAATGATAATATGGTGAGTCTTCGGGGCTTAATTACATGCGCCACTTGGTCAGCCAAGCAGCTGACTTTGCAACAGTCTAGTCGCTTTAAGATCTACTTTACTAGTAGATGTTATAGTATAGAGAATCGGACCAAGTACAGAGTCCTGGGGTACTCCAGTTCTGCAGCTAAAAAGAGAAGATTTTGTCACCGAGTTTCATTTAAAACTGTCTGTCACTGAGATTTAAGAATCCATCAGCAGGTAGTAAAAGTGTGCTGGAAAGTACTTTTTAATTTCATAGAGTAATCCTTTAGCTGATTTAGCTGAAGTCGCATGAAAGCAGACGTACAGGGTTCTTTCTTCACATCTCAGACCAAACATTATTCTGTTTATGATTGGTATGGTTTCTGCCAAAATTTATAGTCGGGTAAACTACAGGGTGTTACGTAAATGGGTATATGAGCCGACTACATGTAATAATATACAGGGTGTTAGGTATATACCCATTTACCTAACACCCTGTATATTATATGGGTCATACTTAGGCAAGGGAATAAACGAGCAAGAATGATCCTTTTCCATAATTTTAACAATACAAATGTCAGATTAATTGAGCGATAGGAGAATTCGTTAGTTCTCTTTGGAAATGATCCATAAGGGTGGCAAGTCGCTGCCAGCCTTATGGATCATTTCCAAAGAGACTTGCGAGGTTCTCACTCAGTGTGGTCATTGTCAAGACCATGGACTTCATGGTGATCAGATCAAATGCAAGTGCTTTACGGTTCCATTTTGGCTATTTATTTAGCTTAGCCATCTCTCTTGGCGTTAGTTCTTTCGTTTCAGCTGAAAGACGTCCTGCGCCGCTCGCACCCAAGCACTTCCTGCGACCTTCCCCAAATCGTTGGTCCACCTAGTGGGAGGCCTGCCCACGCTACGTCTTCCGGCTCGTAGTCGCTACTCAAGAACTTTACTGCCCCAGCGGCCATCAGCTCTACGAGATATTATGTGCCCCGCCCACTGCCACTTGATTTTAGCGATTCTGCGGGCTAGTCACTTTGTCCTCCTGCGTCTTTCGTCCTCACTAAGCGTAGTAGGAATCAATGTTCTACTTTGAACTTGAGGAGGGTAAGCGGAAACATGGAGGTCAACTCCTCAGATAGTCAGAATACGAAAAGATGCAAAATGGGCCTAAAATGGCGGGAGCTTGTGTAGAAGCAAGTCCGCGAGTTCAAGGAGCAGCGCACAACTGAACTCGACGCGAAACGCGATGATGTAAATCCCGTCCATCTACCGCCATTCACTATAATCATGTTGGCGCCGGGCTTAGATTATACTCTCAATGTGCGAGGAGTTTGCCGCGAAGATCAGCTATGTAAGCTATCTTTAGGCGCACCAGCGCCGCTAAGACAGCTAAGTCGAAGTGGTCACCATGACCGAAATCGGTCGGATGAATCATCATCATCAGTAGGAATCAAAGGCAGGCATAGCTGCAAGTCTCGGATCAAGTTCAATGCTTGATCCTATTTTTTGGATTATCCGTGTCAGTGGGTTTAAATAAACCGGCTTGTCATGTAGCAAAGGTCTGAGATTTTTCTTGTCAGTTCGCACTCATGTATTACCGGACCTATTAAGCGGAGAACACTTTGAGGGAGGTACTTTGTTGCCTTCCAGAGGTTGTGGTTCCCATTTGCATTCCGAGACATATTTGCCAATCTCTGTGTGAGTGATTCGCTTAAAGTATAGTCCAATAGTGTGGGCTATCTGCCAGACGAAGGCTGGGATTTTTTTCTTGACAGCAAGGGGGACTGGCGCCCCTCGCGATCAATTATTTACTAGACCAAGCAGCAACTTGAGTAATGTTCTTGATTAACTGTTAATATAGTTAGTATTAAGTTATTTATCAATTTATTAGTATATCAACGGCATTAAGTTCGCCTTGTGTACTAATTTACACTCGGCTTCAAATAAATCTCACCTCCCGCGACAAGCACTTATCAAACGTATGCATCCCCACTTCACACCAATATTGGCACAATTTGGCAGCCTAGTTCTAAACTTCATTTCATTAAAGGAAAGGTTTTTACCCCAAAAATGTGTCTTGTTGGGCCAACTTTTATGGCTATAAATCTGTTTGGGATTAATTGCTATCCATCTGTTAAAAAGGACACGTAAGATCATTATTTGGTTTTATAACCACAAAAATTGGTCTACTTGAGCCCATAGGTGAGCCCCAAGTGAGGCCTTTTTTCAAGTCACATTTATGGTACTTGTTAATTGTTTATGAAAAAACTGTAATATGTGTTTTTCTTTAAGTTTATTTATTGGGCTTTAAAATAACACCAATATTTTTGGTGCACCATGATTGTGTGAGAAGAAAATCTTTAAAGTTCGCGTCGCGGAAGGTGCGATTTATTTGATATTGAGTGTATTATAGTTAGTTCTTTTGCCTTCGAAACATAAATTAGTACAGTATAGGAGAGGAATAAATTGCAAATAGTTGGTACAGTATCAGTATCGGCGCGCCGACAGCTGGTCGTCGGCGGCGGCGGCGTGAAAAAATTCGCGGCGGCGGCGGCGCGCCGGCGTGGCGCCCACCTCTACTGTCAATATTTTGACATTCCAAATTCAAACTCAAGATTTTTTTTTCGATTGTGCGTTGTCATCATTAGCAATTTTTTTTTTAAATCAGAAGACGTGTAAACTGCCAGTAACTTTGGCTGTGTTAAGTTTTCACTTTTGGTTTTTTTATGTGTTGAAGACATCGTCCATAATTTTTTTCAATAGACTGTGAACCTTAAAATAACAGTATAAGCTCCAAAATCTATCCTTATAAGCTGCAAATAGTTACCTTGTGTGCTTGTTTCGTTTCGTCAATGTAATGTGTGGTTATGATGACTGTGGTGCCGCCTCGCGCGAGCTCTGCTAGGAACTCCCATATCCTGGAAAATAAAGCATTTTGTTACGACAAGTTACTGTAACATCAGGTTTATTAACCAAATTACTGTCTATGTCCTTGGCTAGCTGACACTCCCATATCAGACATAACTTTTTTGAGCTGTGAAAACGCTATTTAATTTCCCATAGTCGCTTTGTGTCGCGCGCTATAATTATGTATAAGTAAACTAATGTTTGTCAGGAATAATTTAGGATTCGAATGTTGAAAGATTTTTTAAAATCAGTCCAGTAGTTTCGGAGCCTATTCAATACAGAAAATCTCATTTTTTTCTTTGTTTATTTTTTCAAATACATATTTCCTTTTTAAAATATTAGTGTAGAGAAAAAGTACCTAATATTTAGTTATGAAAACAATTATAAAAAAATACCCAATGTAGGTATTATATGCAACGACTAAAACAAAATGGTTCACGAGACTTCGAAGTAAAAACAAAAATAACAACAAAACGATTAGACTTTTTTATTAATTTTTCTTACAAACAGAGTGCTGTCAAATAAATAATAACATGTTCTTGATCAGCATCGCGTGACTAATGGGTAAATAAATACATAAATATGTACAACTATAATGAGAATTGTGTTCAGTTAATGACGGACAGTTTATCGCTAACTTTTTTAACTATTTGCTGACGTATTTATTTAATAGCTGTTATTAAGATGAACCGGGAAATCTATTACTAAACGTTTTTGGAAATTTTGACAATTTGCACACAATTTGCAACAGAGTCGACTTGTCACAGGGTAATTCGTCACAAATTTAAAATTTCTCGTGTCAAATTAGCGTTAATTTATTTTTTTGCGGATCTAATGATAACTTTCCCCCGGTACAAACTTAAACTTCACTGGTTGGGTCTTTATTGGCGGCCAAGCTGTAGATCCTGGCTACACAGGAGTTGCAGCGGTGGGAACGAGAGGTGGGAATAATCCCGTTAAAAATTTACTTTCAATATTAATATGAAACTTAAAAATGTGCGACGAATTGACTTTGTCGCAAATTTAGAATGTCTAACCCGTTTTTGTAGGTATTTCGGTTAATGAATTAAATAAATAGGCATGCATTACTTTTCATTGATAAATTACTTTGTGTCAACTCTAGCGATTATGCAATGGACTCCCATTTGGCGACACCATAATTTTACAGGCGCAGTATTTCCATCACAAAAAGCCATATTTAAACAACCTATCTATAGAACATAATTTCCAGAAAGTTCTCCAACAAATGCACAACAACTTAATATGCAAACTAATTGAGCATTCCCTCCTCGAACCAAATGTCATTGCTTCGAAGGTATCCCGAATCATGCGCATGTTCTAAATTATAGCATTTTGAACTTTAAACACAGAGATATAAGGAACAGATAAAGTTGATTGAGTTGATAATGAAAGCTACGTAATTAACAATCGATTGACAGGAAAAGTGAATCATTGTACGATGTTGTTGTGACGTGGGACGATTGCTAAATAGAGAGGCTATGGCCGTAAGAAAATGTATTTTTTGGTTCTAAGCATACTTTGGTTTAACATGTTACTTCTAGCACAATAATAGCCATTTCAGCCAAAGGACGTCCACTGCTGAACCAAGGCCTCCAAGGTTTTCTACAAGACCGATCCTGCCCGACCCGACCTACAAACGTGGTCGCCCCAAGCATACTTGGCGGCGCACTGTGGCAGACGAGGCGAAGAAGATCGGCAAGACTTGGAGCGAGATCAAACACATAGCTCAAGACCGAACGCGATGGAGGACTGTTGTGGACGCCCTCTGCCCCATCTAGGGGACAAAGGACCATAAGTCAAGTAAGTCAAAGATCCTGCTGTGCCCTACTCGCGTTCGAGGCATCTAGGATTGTCAGTCTACCGAGTTGAGGGCTTTCCACATTGTATTTTCGTGGCCGCCATTATCTTTTCAGTCCTACTCCTTGCATATTAAAAAAAGAATAAGCTAATTGTGAGTTACACACTCATATCAAAACCCACTGGTTCACAACAGTAAAATTAGAATTTTGGGCCCCTTTCTGTTTTTCTCGTTTATGATTGCATATCAGGATGTGTTAAAGTTAGTGAGATAGTTACGTAGTTAGTAGTAAATATAAGCACGATGACAGACTGGTGGTAATCTGATCTTGATATGTAACAAAAGAACCCATCAAAAACAATACTTGTCAAAAAAACCAAGTCTCGCAACTCAGTTGTTCTACGGTAAAAAGTTGTGAGATCCATGTAATACCAAGTCCAGGCCAGGAAATCTTTAACGTTTTACATAAATTATTGACTTGGCCATCGCACTAAATAATTTTATTTACACGTGTTTTCATGCGATGGCCAAGTCAATGGCTA